CAGTGATATATAAAAGTATATTATACTATATCATCAATTTGCGAAAGCCATTATCCCCCTAATAAGGGGGGTGGCGGAAGCAATGCAAACACTTATCTTTTCATAGGAAAAAAAGCCCCACTAAGTCGACTTTTACGACACGCAGAGGAAAATGGAGGGGTATCCCCGTCCCCAACCTCAGGGGAAAAAGCATATTTACATAACATAAAAAGAAAAAGAATTATCTGAAGGATGTAAAAAGTATTTTTCATGACTAGCAGGTCCTCCAGCGAGCTCCTGTCACGTAGTCGAGGAAAGGAGTAGAAGAAGTGGCACCTAGAGATGCCAATCACCTGCCCTACGTTGAGGAATGAGATTATCTACAGTCTGCCCACAGGTGTTTTTGGCTCTCTTCCACATTCTGTAAAGGCGAAGATAACGTCGAGGTACCGTATATAAAAGACAGAGGTGAAACAGACTTGACCTCAGTCACTTTACGACTCTGGATTAGTTGGTGGTAAGTTCCTGAAATCTCTTAATTGTAAGATCTTGCGGACTGGCAAAATGTCGTTAAGTGCAAATATCTTTTAAGAGCTTGACATAAAGATACTACGATAACTATATTCATGCCATGGGGTTTGGATAAGTTATATTTAAATTTGATCAATACAACAGGAAATATCAAACACAAATGTGTTCAGGATTAGCGACGGTGTTATTACTTTCCCAAGCTCTACAGAGCAGTCATGACTTATCAAAACATACTACCCTGGGGTAGAATTGAAAGAGTACTCTGAAAATCTGTCAAGATAGCCCAGCATATCAAATAAATATTTTCAATCACAATTCACTTTTTCCTGAGTTAATTTATGTGTAATGGATTACAACTGTAGTACGGACTATTAGGAAAATCCATGCTATATTATAGCTCTGGGCAATGAAATACAATAGTGCCAAGCAAAAAACTTGTATGAAAGAGAAATATCAAATTATATGCTATTTACAAATAAGTATAAAGGAAGGTCGCTGACTCAATTTAGAACTTCATGTAGCTATACAATATCCTTTCGAGAAAATAAATATTTTATATCCTACGCCAACAGTACACAGACAATAAAGAGGTCCAACAAAAAAATATATTGCACATAAATTATAAACTGGCATACCATATAACAATTCAATTATAATTCATGAGAAAATAGAAATTAATATTATCAAAACACAATCCAGTCGCTTAAACTAGCATAACACAGTGAGTGTCACCCTAAGATTTTCGAAAAAAAAAAAAAAAAAAAAAACTGCTGTTTCCCAAATATATTGGAGAAGGAGTTAAAGTACGTTACAGCATGTCTGTGTGTGTAGACAGACAAACATTTGGGAAGATTCCTTAAAAAACCATAAGTGCTTGTTAAGTATGAGGTAATCACACTTCACATAACGCGTCGACATTGGTGACTTAAATAAGATTCAACTTAACTCCAAGGGGTGCGAACATGAACATCTAAGCCTACCACTTAGAATGCAAGGTGTGCAGTGTTAAACCACGTGACTCTGGATGTGACAAACTCTTGTTCAAACCCACTGCTGGACGCTAGACGGGGCGTCCAACCCTAATTCCCCAGTTCAAAACTGTTATTATTCACCCCACTTTGAATGGGAATTAATTAATTAATGAAACAGCACACAACAACTTAGAATGCCAGGAGGTATAGGATCACCACTAGAGCATAAAGATAATAACAATAACTATCTTTCCCCGTTTAATCCTACGAGTACTTAGTAATAACTGCATAAGCACATACAATCATGAACGGAAGAGTGTGTACACGCATATCCATATCTAGTACTCTATTTTATTAATGCAACTTCAAATAGTCTTTCTGGCAGTTATACTTAGAGAAATGCACACAAGTTTGCTTAAACTTTGCAATATTCAATTTTATCACTTTCATTAAGTAAAATCACTATTTAATCATTTACGTAAGGTAAACACACTACGCATGCTGAGTTGACATATATAATTTAGATTGATAAGATGCAAAAACTATAGTCATAACATTTTTACTTTATAACAATAGATAAAATTAAATATATCTTAAAAGATTTGCTCCAGATGGAATTATAAAATAAAAAATTTTTTTTGAAGATAATTTTTATCTTATCAGCAAATAAATTACTTACATGAATAACTGGCATACACACTTAACTAAATTACTTTATAAGTATTCCCAAACTGCTTGAGATAAAAAAGAAATAATATATTTTTTCTCATTTCCAGATTCTAGCCACGAGCCCAAGCCAATCGCCATCATGTGTGACGACGAAGAGGCAGCGACCCTTATATGCGACAATGGCTCTGGTTTAGTCAAAGCTGGCTTTGCTGGTGATGATGCCCCTCGAGCTGTATTCCCCTCTATCGTAGGCCGTGCCCGTCATCAGGGTGTTATGGTGGGTATGGGCCAGAAAGATGCCTATGTAGGTGATGAGGCCCAGAGCAAGAGAGGCATTCTCACCCTCAAGTACCCCATCGAAAATGGTATTGTTACAAACTGGGATGATATGGAAAAAGTCTGGTATCACACATTTTACAATGAACTTCGAGTTGCTCCTGAGGAGTGTCCCACAATGCTTACTGAGGCACCACTCAATCCCAAGGCCAACCGTGAGAAGATGACTCAAATCATGTTTGAATCTTTCAACATGCCAGCTATGTACGTTTGCATCCAGGCTGTTCTCTCTCTTTATGCATCTGGTCGTACTACTGGCGAAGTATGCGATTCCGGAGATGGTGTTACTCACATGGTACCAGTGTATGAAGGTTTTTCTCTTCCCCATGCCATTCTTCGTCTTGATTTAGCTGGGCGAGACATCACACATTATCTGACCAAAATCATGACTGAGCGCGGTTATTCCTTTACCACCACAGCTGAACGCGAGATCGTTCGTGACATCAAGGAAAAGCTATGTTATATTGCCTTAGACTTTGAAAGTGAGATGAATGCTGCTGCCGCCTCTTCCTCCATTGATAAGTCTTATGAACTTCCTGATGGTCAGGTCATCACTATTGGTAATGAGCGCTTCCGTGCACCCGAATCCCTCTTCCAGCCATCTTTCCTAGGTATGGAGTCAGTTGGTGTCCATGAGGTAGTCCATAACTCCATAATGAAATGTGACATAGACATAAGAAAGGATCTTATGGCAAACGTCGTTTTGTCAGGAGGTACAACTATGTATGCTGGAATTGCAGATCGTTTCCAGAAAGAAATCACGACTCTGGCTCCTTCTACCATCAAAGTCAAAATCATCGCTCCTCCAGAACGTAAATACTCTGTATGGATTGGCGGTTCCATCCTTGGGTCACTGTCAACCTTCCAGAATTTGTGGTGCTCCAAAGAAGAATATGAAGAATCAGGTCCTGGCATCGTACACAGGAAGTGCTTCTAATGGAAGAGAATACCAAATGCAACATATATCCATTATGGAGTGCACTTCAAAATTATACAATAATAATCATATCAAGCTTTTATTAATAAAAGATATCTTTTTGTAACTTTATGATTATTTCCATACCTTATATTAATATTGCTTTTTACATCCCAATAGCTGTCTTTCGAGAAATAATTTAGAGTTTACCACTAACTATTTCTAGTGAATAAGACACTCACGCTAAAATCTAGAAGTACAATATTAATTTGGCAACCTGGCAAAAGGTGTGACATCCCACACCACAAAGACTAAGATTTCTTTCAGGAAAAATGTATTTTGAGATCTCAGGCATGAGATGCACCATAAAACACCAGCATAGCTAGCACAGCCCTTTAATACAATCTGTCTTTACTACAACGTACATAAACTTGCATGAATTATCCAATAAACCGACAGTGTTTTACTAATGATAACTAAAGAATAAAGGAAATAATAATTAAAGTTATAATGTTACAGAGGAGGGTTATAACATTACTCTAAAGATAATGGCTCAGTTGGTAGTAGTAGTAGTAGTGGTAGTAGTAGTGGTGGTAGTAGTAGTAGTAGTAGTAGTAGTAGTAGTAGTAGTAGTAATAATAGTGATAGTAGTAGTAGTAGTAGTAGTAGTAGTATGTATGTATATATGTATGTACGTATGTAATTATGTATGTATGTATGTATGTATGTATGTATATATATATATATATATATATATATTTATATATATATATATATATATATATATATATATATATATATATATATATATATATATATATATATATATATATATATATTCACATACATGATTGTATAATCTCCTATGAATGTTTCTCTTTAATAACTACAACTATTGAAGGTGGTCACACAATATGAAGAGTATTATTAATGAGGATAAAAGACATTCATGTTGCAGTATAAAAGGGATATCATATATACTTTTGAAACTTAAAACAAAAAAAATATTTTGAGATACCGAAAGTAACTCCATCCTATTCCGAGCAGATAAGCAGTATCAAGGATTCTCTTTCACATTGGTCTCCTTAGTCTCTACTTACATTAACAGAAGTCTTCAATTTGCACGGACGATATGGCAATAATAACGCTTTTTCAGCACATACAATTCAGCATTTCTGAATAGAGTAACAAGGCCAACTGCAACTAAGTAGCATCTTCATGCCAAGCAATGAATAATTATATATATATATATATATATATATATATATATATATATATATATATATATATATATATATATATATATATATATATATATATATATGTATATATATATATATATATGAATCATCTTTACCCCTACCGGGATTTGAACTTGTGACTTATAATTACTATGCCAAGGTGCTACTAACTACACCACGGAAAAGTCTTAAAAAGGAAACAGACCTTACAGCTTATATTTGCTATACTAGGAATGAACGAAAACCACGAGCGAGGTTGGGGGAAACTGTAATATGAAGAAAGTGGCATTCAGATAGAATGCGATCATTCCTAATATAGCAAATATAAGCTGTAAGGTATATTTCCTTTTTAAGACCTACTGTGGTGTAGTCGGTAGCGCCTTGGCCTAGTAATTACAAGTCCCAGGTTCAAGTCCCGGTCAGAGTAAATATGATTCATGTTTTCACGTATGGTAATGTGCTTATTTGGTTATTGTTGGTCCAAATGAGATTGGGAGTTGAATTAAATGCGAAAACGAAACCACGAGTGAGGTTGGGGGAAACTGTAATATGAACATAGTGGCATTCAGATAGGATGTGTTCATTCCTACTATAGCAGATATAAGCAGTAAGATTTGTTTCCTACTTAAGACCTTTTGTGGTGTAGTTGGTAGTGCCTTGGCTTAGTAATTATAAGTCCCAGGTTCAAGTCCCGGTCGGGGTAAAAATGATTCAAGTTTTCACATATGGTAATGTGCTTATTTGGAGAGATATATATATATATATATATATATATATATATATATATATATATATATATATATATATATATATATATATACATATATATATATATATATATATATATATATATATATATATATATGTACGTATGTAAGTTTGTATGTATCTATGTACGTACGTGTATATGTATGTATGTGTATGTATTTAGGCATGTATGTATGTATGTATGTATGTATGTACGTACGTACATATGTATGTATGTATGTATGTATGTATGTATGTATGCATGCATGTATGTATGCATGTGTGTATATGAGAGAGAGAGAGAGAGAGAGAGAGAGAGAGAGAGAGAGAGAGAGAGAGAGAGAGAGAGAGAGAGAGAGAGAGAGAGAGAGAGAGAGAGAGAGAGAGAGAGAGAGAGAGAGAGAGAGAGAGAGAGAGAGAGAGAATATAAACTTTACGTTAGACAACTGTTATACTAGCAATAAACCGAAAAGTTAAGTAGGCTTAGATGATACTAGTTAGACATAATATTACAAAGTTCAAAATACAGAGCACTATTGTAATAAGTAAGGAAGAACATCAACAAATGTTTTCTCCACATAAAATTATAACATACGAATGTACAAATTCCAACACCAAAGGAAAATATCAAAATACATCATGAATACACGAGGAAGAAAAAAAAAAAAGGTAGAATCATAGCAGCTTAAAAAAAAAGAAAAAAAAAGCTGAATCTCCATAGCAGCAGATGCTATTTTTCCGCCGCTCAGCCCGGCATACGATCTGACTTGGGGCAATCTCGTGAGGGGTTGAAAATAACAATATAAATCTGTGTTGAGTATGTAAACATGAAAGTCTTACACAACTTAATGAGTACATCTCACGGCCCTAAAGCCAAGAGGGGTAAAATAAAGACTCTCTGTTCCCTCTTACATTACAAAAGAAAGAGAAAAAAAATAGAAAACGAACGCCAGGGATTATCTATTCTTAGAGACAAAAATAATATTGTGTTTTTATTTAAAAGGCGCCACATAAGAAGTACAGTTAATTCTATTAAAAATAGAGAAGACCAAGGATTCGAGCTTAATTCATGATGAGCTCTTGGGTTGGTGTAGAAATTCCATAATAGTTGGTTAAAATAGTTTACACTGAATGGCAAGGTACTCCAATCACTAACAATAATTAACTAATTCTATTAACTGTACAAAATATAATTTCATTTACTTTCATGATCCGGAGTATAAAGTCAAGCCTTATATTAACTTCATCTCCTGAAAACTAAGAGGGAGAGATACTGATACATGACCTATTTTGTGCAATTAATTTTTTTTATATTCAGGTTTGCTTTAACACCCCATACTTGCGTGTCCCCCCCATCATTTGAATGAGGATAAATCAATACATTTATAATGACAGATTGCCCCTTGTAAGGGGTGGCTGAGTCAAATCACACACATTTACTAGAACCTAAAATACCTCGATCACTCCTCGATGTATGTTCGGTTCTGGTGAATTCATGTGCTTGGACCTGGCCACCCCATTACAAAAAGGATTGTGGCTATTATATATGTATGTATTTATCTTCATTCAATGGGGGTGCACACGCAGATTAAAGAACTGGGGAATTAAGGATTGATGTAAAAATGAAAATCAGATTATTGGTGACACATTAAAAAGCTCACTACATGTGAAAGCACATTTTAAAAAACGGTAAGATTCTTTCATCGCCCCCAGGGACTTATCAACATCCTTATCATGAAAGTAGGGGATCTTGAGACAAGAAATTATTTCAGAAAAGCTCTCTGTCTCTTATTTAATATTATTTATTTATTCACTTATTTATTTATATGCTTAATATTTATTCCTTTATCCATTTGTTTATACAAGTGATGGTTAACTATATTATATCTAACAATTTTCAAAATAATTTGTATACTTCCTTAAATACTCGCGCGCGTGCTTGTGTGGGTGTGAGTATATATATGCATAAATACATATATATATATATATATATATATATATATATATATATATATATATATATATATATATATATATATATATATATATATGCATGCAAAATAAACTGTTATGTCACAGTAAACTATGAAGAAGAAAAGGCCCATATATAAAACGCAAAGAGAAACAAAGATGTACAGTATATTACGACTGGACTCCAGTCCTCTTCGGGTACATTTGTATCTGAAGAGGACTGGAGTCTAGTCGTAATATATTGTACATCTTCGCTTCTCTTTGTGTTTTATATATGGTCATTTTCTGCTTCATATATATATATATATATATATATATATATATATATATATATATATATATATATATATATATATTATATATATATATATTAGTTTTTGCCAGGGTGTGAATGCATTTTAGTAGTAAGAAATCTGTCGCTCTGTACAAATCTAGAACACGCCCACACGATTCTAATTTAGACAAACGCAGATCACCTAAGATACCTCTTCAAAATTCAGTGCTTGAAGATATGATATCTGGGACTTAAATGTGAACACACAAATACCTAGAAAAATGCAAAGCTACAGGTGAAAAATGCAAAAGGCTACTGAAACCAAAATACAGATAGAGGATCCTCATAAACTCTGGGCTCTTAAAAGGCATTACCTAGCACCGGAGGGCGTTACAGAATACCACATTTATAACCTCGCAATACACTAACATACAAAGAAAAATAAAACTATATTTGCCCCACCCACGTTGACCCCCCCCCCCTTCGTGTTCCTCCCTCCTACTTCCCCTGGGGACGGCACTGTCATCGCTACTTTGCAGATGGTTTTGGCTCTTGGTCTTAATCTCTTCGCGACTCAGTTTTTTATACTCTTTTTCGTTATAGCGAAAAGTATATAAAGGATTATTAGAGTCTCCGAGCTTTAGTCACTTCACCGACTCATCTGTGGACGAGGTAGGCACTTTGGTTTTCTCAATTTTCTCTTTCTCTGGATAAGGAATATTCAACCTTGACTGAAACTTCATTGATATATTAACCATAAAACTTCAAACTTGAGCCCTGTGCAAAATAATGATCAGAAAATACAAGGAAATTCCATTGCCCTCGTGTACATTTATCTGAACATGCAATAATAGGTGTAATTTCAGAGTACAATGCCAAATATGTGTACTGCTTTCACAACACAAATGCACTGTGACAATTACAAGAACATTATCATTAAACTAGTGGCACAGAGTTATTACTTAAATGAATTATCAAACACTTTTATCGGCTTTGGAAATAGAAGAATAGAGCAATGTTATCATTATTATTATTTTTCTTGTTATTATTATTATAATTATTATTTTTAATAATAATAATAATAATAATAATAATAATAATAATAATAATAATAATTACTATTATTATTATTATTATTATTATTATTATTATTATTATTATTATTATTATTACTATTATTATTATTATCATTATTATTATTAATATATGTATTGCTGATATGTATGCCTATGCCAATAAATTTAAAATCCATACTCAGCTTTCAATTATTTATTTACTTTTATATAATCAATTGGCTATGAATGCCCAATTGACGATGATCGTCAATGTGGAATAGATATCTCAAAGTAATTTCACCTTATTTACTGAATTAATGCTCTCTTTCAAATATATCATATCTTCTTCGAAATTTTAAGCCACTCCCACCTTTGTTATACCCACTTACAAATTAATTTCAACTTACTATTTTGTTTAGTTACTAGAGTATTACAATTGGATAAAGTAAGATGCCCTTATATCATAGTAATTCACTATCATTCACAGCTCCTCATCTAACTCCAACAGCTTCCATCATGTGTGACGACGAGGAGGCAGCAGCTCTTGTCTGCGACAATGGTTCTGGTCTCGTGAAAGCTGGATTCGCGGGTGATGATGCTCCTCGAGCTGTCTTTCCCTCCATTGTTGGTCGTGCTCGTCACCAGGGTGTCATGGTTGGTATGGGTCAAAAAGACGCCTACGTAGGAGACGAGGCCCAAAGCAAGAGAGGTATCCTCACCCTCAAGTACCCCATTGAGCATGGTATCATCACAAACTGGGACGACATGGAGAAGGTCTGGTACCATACCTTCTACAATGAGCTCCGCGTGGCTCCAGAAGAGTCTCCAACAATGCTAACGGAGGCTCCTCTTAATCCTAAAGCCAATCGGGAAAAGATGACTCAAATAATGTTTGAGTCTTTCACTATGCCTGCCATGTATGTTTGTATTCAGGCTGTCCTCTCACTTTATGCTTCCGGACGTACCACTGGTCAGGTATGCGACTCTGGAGATGGTGTCACTCACATGGTGCCAGTCTATGAGGGATTTGCTCTTCCTCATGCCATTCTACGCCTCGATCTGGCTGGTCGTGATATTACCAACTATTTAATGAAAATTATGACTGAGCGTGGATACTCCTTTACCACCACAGCTGAGCGTGAAATTGTGCGTGACATCAAAGAAAAGCTCTGCTACATTGCTTTGGACTTTGAGGGAGAGATGAATACTGCTGCTGCCTCTTCTTCCATAGACAAATCTTATGAGCTTCCGGATGGTCAAGTAATTACAATTGGCAATGAGCGTTTCAGAGCTCCCGAGTCTCTATTCCAGCCTTCCTTCTTGGGTATGGAATCTGCTGGTGTTCATGAAGTTGTTCACAACTCAATTATGAGGTGTGACA